CAACTTAACGGCCTGCTCCCAGTTGGCTTGTTAGCTCAATTGGTAGAGCGCTGCACTAGTATCGCAGAGGTCAGTGGTTCGACTCCCGTACAGGCCTGATTTTTTCAGGTCTGATTTTCGCTATTGCATAAATAGCGCTATATACTGCAAGGATCGTGCATCATACGTATCTAATACCGCAGTTCAAAATATATGAACTTCATATATTTATTCTATCTCATTGAATTGGTAAATTGGCCACCGTTACAATTATAGAAGCTGACATTTCGAGCGTTAGCCCTTTGTTGGAGCGAATAGGGGAATTGTGGGTTGTGTGTGCTTTTAAAGGCAGAAAAAGGAACTACTTTATTGGTGGGATTGTTATATAATTACTCACGTTCAGTTACTCATTGATTGAAGATGGCATAAGCATGTTGAAACATGTCTCTAAAAAAGTTGTATATTTCTTACAATAACTACCAAAGTGAAGTTTACATTTACAACTTTTTTAGTATGATTGGAAATACAAAGTCTAAGCTACCCCATTCATTGCATCAATGTGATCAAGGAAAAAAAATGGATGGATGACAACTTGTTTAACCATTGACTCTGAAGAGTGATTAGCAGCTAATTTCTCCTTACATTTATCATGCCTGAATCACACATAAAGGTCATGAGAATAGAGGAAATGATCACCAACTAAAGATGCTCCTAATTGTTGAACAAATTCTCCTTGTCAGCACCTTAGGAAATGTATAGAGACCAGTATGGAGAATATGCATACTGATGTTAGGGTGTACAGGGTTAAATGCAGCATCTATTAGATAATTTCTTACCCTGCAACAGATTGCATAACCTTGTTGGACATATCCTTACTGTTACTGAAAAAACTGTTGGCGCCTTTCACTACTCCACCAAGTATTGCTGAATTTCCTGATGAAGAAGATGGTGGCACAGGGGGACCACTTGCAATAACTAGAACAGACAGAAGGTTTATAATGAACACACCGTTTAACAGACACTGCTGTTAGCAAATAAACAACCCAAAAACAGACTTTCCCATCAGTGCACTTAAGATGGCTCAGTAGTCTTACATTCTAGAAATTTAAACTAACAAAAAATACATCTCTTTAATCACTTTATTTTGAGAAAAACTAGTGGACAATGATAAGGACGCAGTTCATTGCTTGGAATAGGTGTGTCATGTGGATATGCGAGATTGAAATTATAAGAAGAGTACATACTAACCTTGAGAAGATCGTTCTGTAGAAGATTGTGGGAGATCATCTCTCTGCAAATGGCAATACAGGCCATAAATTCATAATAGATAAAATCATCTTTCAAATTTTATTTATAATACTAAGGCAGGGTAAGAATCAGCTAGAGATACAAATAAACATGACCACTAGGTTATGGTCTACTAAACAAATATATTTCACGTTGCTGTCTTTAGGTACAGTTAAAGATCACAAATGACCTCAAAATGTGGTAAGAACAACAAAGTGACACAGAACATGTAGCTGGGTTTGTCACTGATGTCTTTGCCAAATTCTTGATGTCTTCTGTGGTCTATTACTGTACAGACCCAAGGAATTTATTTGTTTTATATGATAAAAAGAAATTGTTCTTTATGGAGACAACAGCTATACATCTGTCTTCTAACAGATCACAAGTAAGAACGATTCAAAATGCATGTACCATTCAGCTAATCCGCCACCCCCCTCAAGTAAGCCACACCCTCTAATAAGCACACCCTTTCCCTTAAAAACAAAAATTCAAAATATCACTCCATGTCAGTAAGTATGATTAATCTATTCAAGTAATGTAATTTTAGTTTGTCAATTAAAATTGATTATGGTGATTGATTGATTGATGTTATCTTGTTGGCATCAATAGAAAATGGTATATGGAAATTACAGAACAATGCTAAAAATATAACATGGCTAAACAAGGTCCATTGAGAGAGTGAGATCATAAAATTGAGTTCTTTACTGAGTTTTAAATTAATAACTAAAGCCCCCACTAATAAGCCACCCCCTCAAAGTAACTGAAATAAATAAGCCCCCCCCCCCCCAGAGGGGCTTAATAGAGGATTTACAGTAATATAAAGGTCATGAGAAGAGGTAAACTACAAAGCAAAAAAGAGAGACTGCTAGAAGGCTGCAATGAAGTTGCTCTGGTAAAGAGGAATGTGTACTTACCACTTTACCCTTAAGATCAACATCCATTGCAATTGCAATGGCTTCAAGACCTGTAAGAACTTCCTTTATGTCTGGTCTGTCAGCTGGGTTCACTTGAAGCATGTATCCTACACATCACAAAGTCTCTCTGTTACTAGCTTTTACTAATTAATGGTAACTGATTAATAGATATTTTAATTCTGATCTGTTATTCCCATTACATCATGGAACAAACAGTAAAAAGACAATCAACTTTTTTTAAACCTTTAACTCCCAAAGTGATTAACTAGTAACTTCTCTCTATAAAACCCATACATTTATCCATCAAATAGGTAATGAGAAAATTCAAACTCATCCGGTAGAAGTTGCTATCTTAATCTAACACCAAATTCTATTTACTAATTTACAAGGAAATGTGTAGCAGCTAGAGAGGTGAATTAACAATCAGATCATGTAATTACACACAACAGTAAAATGTCACTCACTAATAAGATCATGGAATACTGTGTATTTAGTGTCATTCTCTGGGATGGTGTATTTTGCATTCAATATTCTCAGCTTGGCTGAGTCTTCAAATGGGTGTTCCATAAAACACAAGAAGAACAGAATACAACCGAGGGCCTACAAAACATAAACATTAAATACAAACAATCAATAGAAAATTTACCAAATTATTTGAAAGTTATGATTCAATGTTACAGAACTGTGTTTGATTCTTAAAATAGCTAAATCCAGCTGTCCATCATAATTATTTAGACAAATAACTAAAATCAACTAATATAATCCTTAAAAGCTAATTTAAAGTTCCTGTACAATGATACAATTTACTGTGGAAGTTTTACACTTACCCAAGTATCACCTTTTTCAGTGATTGGCATATTACTGTACAGATCAATCATTTCTGGTGCACGGTACATGGGAGTTGTGTTCCGTTGAAGCTGGTAGATAGAGAAAAAATGTAAAGTGGAGGTCATCCCAATATTAAATTTGATTCTGATTTCTCTTAGGGGCTTCAAAGAACAAAAGGATTTTGATTTCAACACAGATTATCACAATTTAACTGGATGTAATTTATGGGTAAATCTTCACTCTTAATTAAATACTGGCAAATTTGCATTTTATTTTACCTCATCTTCAACAAGACTACGCCGGAGTGCTGTCCAAGACTCATCAGGCATTTGTTGCTGAGTAGTTGAGCTTCCAAAATCACAAAGTTTGATTTGGCCCTTTGCACTGATGAGAAGATTTTCAACCTAAAGAAAACTCATAGACTCAATTGATCTGACTTTAGAAAAATAAGAGCCTAATGATTTGATGTTCAATCTCATATATGATAAAAACAATTAAAATAAATAAATAATATATAAATTGAAATTTAACAGAGAACTTCTATAGGTTGGCTCTTCTTCCACTGTTTTTTCATGTTTAATATAAAATTTGAAGTGTTGGTCTTCGGAGAGAGAGGAAAAGAGAAAAAAACTGAAGAAAAACTCTCACTGCAAAGATGGGAACCAAAAACAAGCTCAACTTAAGATGTTGTCCCAGGCTGGGAATTGAAACAGGGCCTCAGTGGTAGGAAATGTGTTCTTTCATTACAGTTCCATCCCTGCTTCCTAAATGCTATGCTTACCTTCAAGTCTCTGTGTATAACAGGTGGGTTCTGTTTGTGCATGTGAGCAACTGCTCGGCAGATTTGATAGAACATCTTCAAAACCTGGTCTGGTGGATATGGCTGTCCACACCTCTCCTGTAACAGCTTGACCAGCTCTCCTCCTATTGAAAATGAGCATTTTTTTGAAAAACCCCTTTTAACACAAGCAGATATTGTTTGAATCCTAGCAACCATTAGAAATGCTCAAAATAAAGTGGAATCTTTATTATTCTGAAGCAGGAAAAATAGTTACCACTGCAGAGCTCAGTTAGGATGAGAAATTCAGACATTCCATGTTCAGTTTCTTTTTCACTCAGAGATGCTGCGGAATAAAACTGCACTATGTTTGGATGTCCTCGGAGACGTTTCTTTAAATAGTTAAGGTAGCACTCCTTGTACAGGCACTCCTGACTACTTCATTTCCTCATATTGCAACAAGGTACACAGTCAAATGAACGCATACCCATCAAAACAGAATCAAATTCTCCCATGTTTTCACAGGAACAAATTCAGCAAATACAGCCAAACCTGTATGACAAGTGGCACCATTTTAAGCGGTCACCCTGTATCAAGCTGTCAGTTGTCAAAGTCCTGAATTTGTTTCCCCTTAATCACTGTTAGTAATTTTCACCTTGATTAAGCAGTCAGCTCTATTGGTGTTTTTAACATATGCAAATTAGGACATGTGACAAACAATGGAATCCATGTATAATACGCACCATGATTTTGATGGTTATTTTTGTACAAATAAAGTGCGTATTATACAGGGATAAATACGGTAATCCTTCAAGTAATTTAAAATCCATGTTTCTCTCCAAAAATCAAAGTAAATAGTATTTTCAAGTGAGATTTTGTACATTAAGTGATCAATTTTGGGGTGAAAGGGTGTTGTTATCCTAATTTGTAACACCCCTAATCTGTAGATCCTATTAATATTTAGCAGTCAACCTGTATTAGGTGGTCACCCTGCCATTCCCCACGAGTGACCACTTTATACAGCTTTGACTGTAACAGTTGAATTTGAGTTCACTTAATGTCCTTTGTTAAAGAATTCCATACTCTGAGAAATGTGCACATACTACCAAAAAAGGATACAAGGATGGTTATTTCATTCAGTATAGATTTTTTGGCTGCATCATCACCTGCCATGAGTCGCTATAGAAAGGAAACATATTTCAAGATGTTAATTCACATAAGGTTCCTGATTTATAATGTAGAACAAAGAAGTGAAACTGTGTTTTATTTACTTTAAGCTTAGTAGTAAAACAACAAACATAGATGTTATCAAGACTGCTGTTATTATCATTATTACTATCTATCTATTGCAAACATAATAGTAAACATGACAAAAAGAAATCACTATATTCATCATTATCATTATTATATCATGAAAACCACCTGCTAAAAGACCAAGGTTTCCTTTAAAATGAAACAAGATACACTTGTTACTTTAAAGACCAAACCTTACTACAAGTCTGTTTCATGCTAGATATCACAAACCCTAAAGGGCTAACAAGCTAAATATTATGTTGAGGCACACTTCCTTCATCTGATTTAAGTATAATGGATAAAATTAAAGCATCCCGTTTAGAAAGTCTAGATGTAACTTTGGGTAAATCGGTAGTGATTCAATTTTATCCTGGGTTAATAATTCACTTCTTTCATGTTTGGAATTTAGTGTAAAGTAACTTAGGATAACAAGATTAAAGAAATCAAAATTCATTTCACATGCTGTTGATCAAGTTCATTTTAATAAAAATATTCTAAGAATGGTTTATTTTGTTTTATTTCACATTGTTCAAGTAAGATTACAAAAGTCCTTGAAAAGGACAATACAAAACAATCTAATAACAAAATCTTATTAATCTAAAATCACCTTAATCATTTTAAAACAAAGCATACAAATCAAGTCAAAGAAAATGCGAACTTGTATTTTCAAGAATCATTGTACTGAAAACAAATTAGATTAACATATTTGAAAAATACTTCAATCAAGAATGCCCACCCACTCAAAGAACCATTTGTTTGTAAGTGGCTGACAAACAATAAGTTTCTGATCTCGTCTGATCTCGATTTTTTACCTGTCAACATCAAGAAACAGCTAAATAATTAACGAATTCCTCGAAGTTTTACACGTGGGCAAAAATTCGCAGCGATCTACTTACTTTTTGCATGATTAATCACTTCGTAATCGTGCTATTACGTCAGATCACCGGCTACTGCTAATTTTTCTGTCAGTCATCACGAAAAGATTTCCTCTTTGATAGTAGACAGAAAGACAGGAGGAATACTTAATAAACACTGAAAACTGAGTTGTACCTTAAGTGCATATTCTTTACCGGTTGACGTGTCCTGGGCGACGAAAACAAATCCGTACCCTCCTAAAATAGAGGAATTAAAAAACAATTGTTAAAGTACCCGAGAGTCGAATCAAAAATCACAGCGAGAAACAAAAGATAATAAGCTTTAATTCTAATTTAAAGAAAAGGCTGTAGCTGACCCTCTGCGATAACTCGTCGCACCCTGAGTTGTACAGGTCCTAACTCAACATACTGCCCCACGAAGTCATTGTCCGACTTCCCTGTTTGGCTAATGTAGTTCAATGCAGAGCGAAAAATGTCTGCCATTTTTAGGTTCCGTTCGATAAGACAGCAAACTGCTAGAGGGTGGATTCTACGCGCACATCAGTTTCTAAATCTGCGCGCATTCTCTACGATAGCGGGTTAAATGTCGACCGAATATCAATATCCTTACGAACTCCAGAGAAGTCCAGAGTGGCCATTTTGCATTTAAACATCAACTGTACAGCGCATGATCGAAACCAAATCAATTTGCAATTATCATACACAGCGGTAACTCATGAAAATCAAGATGGCGGTCAATTCGATTTGTTGGAAGATGCCTTCCAGGTTTCGTTTCTATTCTGCAAAATCGAAAAGAAAAGTTCGAGTCCAACCATATTTAATAGAGTTCAATAGGTTGCTGGAATCGAGTATTACTGCAATTGAAGGAGTAAGCTTGTTTTCTTGTATGATTTCTCTCTTGAAAATGAACTTAGTTTTCGTTACTAAGGACTCCAGCTAATGTTTACATGTCACTTAACTTTTTTTTCAGGTCTCTAATGAAGATCTGCTCCATGCAGTTGTAGCATTGTATGATATATGCCTTCCTGAAATTACACCTGAAGTTTTGTATCCAACAGTTTGCGGAAAATGGGAAAAAACAATTGTTTTACTCAGAGACTTCCAAGGTTGTTTAAACATAATTAAATATCGCATAAATATCGACCTACCTCAAACTTCATCTAGATTTTAAATATATTTTATAAGGATTTTTTGAGATTTCTGGTTAAATTTACAGCTTTACTTGGAGAATTTTGGGAACAATCTTTAATATCCGATTATTTTTGTAAGATCTTGTAAGAGCTTAATAGAAAATTAACATTCTCAGAAAGTCCGATGTGATCCCGTACAATACTATTAAACTGAGCTTATTGGTCTTCAAACAAACCACTCTAAAGTATTATTTGAAATCTCGGGAGGAAATTATCCCTAAGAGATCCTTGTATGAAAGCCTGAATTCTCTTTGATATATATTTGTTACATATTCATTGCAATGCAAACAGGGATATTATTCTTTTTGACTCAAATATGTTTGAAAAAAAGGAAACCACTGGTCTGTTTTGCAATAAATATGTTTCATACATTGAAATTTCAGTTATTTTCATTCTCTTGTTGGTTGAAAATTAGATCTCTTGCTTGAGATGAAAGGTGTCTCTCCAGAAAGTGATGAAGATCCAGAGTTGACTGAAGATAGTTTGAAACCATTTATCAGCAGTAAATTGTGGAGAGATATCTTTGATGAACAATCTACTGAAACAAAATCTGAAGATTTACCTGCTGATAAACAAGAAACTGGAAATAACAATAAAGAAACAAAAAATCTAAGTAAACAAGTCTCTTGGAATGATGATGCACAGGATGTAAAAAATGAATCCACTGACTCTGCCCATGAAAATTCACAAGAGGATGATGAAAGTACAGATGATTTGAATACTGTTTATGATGAGTGCTCTACAAAGAGAAACACTTGTAAATGTGACAGTAAGGAGACAAAGACTCATCAGTATAAAGAGACAGAAAAGAATGATCTAGCAGAGGAAAGGAATGGGAATAAGAATGAAACTATGGAGAGGGACGTTGAACCAGGAAAGTTTGATGGTGTGTTTAGTGACACAGATGACAGTGATGCAACTGCTGAAAGGTAGAAATAGAGAAACTGTACTTTTTCTGATGGATCTTTTACTATACTGGAATGTGAAAATTCTGTGTTTGAGTCAGTGTTACTGTAGAGAACCAGAATGTCAAAAAGCTGACAATATGATGCCCTACACTTAAGAATAAGATGACATTTGATATGTATCATACCATAAATCCTCTAACAAGCCAACCCCCTCTAATAAGCCACTCCCCTCTAACCCCCTCTAATAACCCCCCTCTTTAGAGGAAGAAATTGATTAAGCCCCCTCCTCTATTAAGCCCCCCATCCCTCCCCCTCAAAATACAAAAACTCAAAATAACACTCCATGTCAATAAGTACGATATTAATTAAATTTATTCAAATACTGTAATAGTTTTAGTTTGTCATTAAAAATTGATTATGGTGATTGATTGATTGGTGGTATCATGTTGGCATCAATAGAATACGGTATACGGAAATTACAGAGTGATGCTAAAAGTATAACATGGCTAAACAAGGTCTATTAAGAGAGTTAGCTCATGAAATTGAGTTTTTTATTGAGTTCTAAATTGATAAGCCCCACCCTCTTTTAAACCCTCCCTCCTCTAATATGCCACCTCCCTCCTCTAATAAGCCACCTCCCTCCTCTAATAAGCCACCTTCCTCCTCTAATAAGCCACCTCCCTCCTCTAATAAGCCACCTTCC